AACACCCTTGGCTAAACTGGTAAAACACCTGCAATTCTTCCTTAGCCATTGTCTGTCAAATGCATCTTGCCTCTAAATTAATACTAACATAGTGATGTATACCTGCTAAATCCACTATTTGTATTACACTGCTGAGCCTGTTGAACATAAGGTTCTCTTGTCAAATGCCAGAACACCACACCCAGTAGACACTAAAAATCCCACACTAATTTTATTAGCATGCTTTAGGCAGGAAGGTAAGCAGAGATCAAAACGTTCATTTTCAGCAGCCTGTTGATACCAGAGTTTATCAACTATTGTTCCAAAGTAGTGCGGAGAAGCAGACTGAAAAGGAGAGAGGAAGCTGATTCTCTGACCACCTACACAGAAGAAAAAAACTGTCTTGTTTTATGTGGAGGTGGGGGAAGAGAGAAACTGTCCTCTACGTGGTCTTGAACCATTTGGTGTATTGCCATATCAGCTCTCCAGCCATAACAGCCAAAATGTTATTACCAGTACTCCACTTTTGCTGTGCTTACCCACTAAAATGAAAGTTGTCAACAAGAACAGTCTAGTTTTACTAAGCTACTTGCATTTGTGCTGCAGGAGCACTCTGTCAACTACAGCAGTCTAGGATTGCTCATCTGAGTGCAACAGAAATACTAGTAAGACCACCACAATGACTTACATCAATCACATTTCAAAAGTAGAAAGAGTTGTAAAAGCGGTTTAGAAGTGCTATAATTACCTTTCTTCTTCATTTGAATTTCTCTTGATCCAGGAGGTGCATTAATATCTCCTATACCCTGAAAGTATACATATTTCTTCACAGTTATCAAATTGGGTGCAAACTTCCAAACATCCTCTCTATCATCAATGATGCAAACCATGGAATCCCCACATGGGAAGAGATCTCTAAAGAAAAAACACAGTTGATAAAATTAATCCAGTTTTAAAAATTAATAGTCAATTAAAGTAGTTTCTGTTGATGTTCTCGTTTATTATGAGCATGTCTGCAGGACATGCTTATGTATAAACTCAAAAAAAAAAAGAGAATCAGCAGTATTAAAATTACAGAATTCAGTATACAATATTTGAACTAATTCAAGTTAATAAAAAAGGAAACAGCTATTTTTAAATCTCTATTCCAAAGGCTAGAAGCAAGAACCAACAAGCCTTTGCAAGAACAAAACATTACAACATTTCGGTTTAGTTTTTACAGTTTATGTCAATGAACAGCCCAAACCCAATGGTGGACAATACACCATCTATATATAACTAGAAGAGAGACATAAGAACAGTTTTTAAAGAGTAGACTCCTTCAATCCAAGACAAAGGAAACAAAAAGCATTAATACTTATATCACCTAGGTGGAGGAGGTAGTGTACTTAAGATAAACATGCATATGAAAACAGAGCAAGAAAAGGAAAAAAGCTTCTTGTTCGCTATGGTCAGATGGGGAGGGGGAAATAATTTTTTATCTAGCTTTATGAAATAGCAAACATATCTGTCTTCCAGGAAAAAAAATCTTGGCTTTACACTCTGAAAAAGATCAGAACCTGAATTTAGACTAGAATATGTATTCAAGGCTCTAGATGACCTAATTTCAAGAAACACTGCAGAACAGAAGCTGCTAGATATATAGCACATTTGAAAGCCAGAATACTAGACATTCAAATATGAATTATCCTCAAATTGAGAATTTTGCTTTAATTAAAAAAAAAATCACAACATATAAGTCAGTATACAGGATCACAAGCCATAAAGTGGAAATAAGGTTATTACAAGAAAAGAAAAAGTAAAAACATGATGCCATTGCTTCACATTCTTACCATTCTAGTACCACAGAACACATTAAGTGGATGAAATGCTGCAATACCAAACATCTCAGTTTTACTGAGATGGTGTTGACATTTAAGAGGCAGATAAGGAAGGACTATAAACATGTGAAGTACAGAGGGAGTAATTTTTATTATATTTAGCATATTCTGTCTCTTTGTCATCCTGTTTTGTTTAATGCATAATACCCATATACATACCTAAGATTCCCAGTTTTAGAAAACGGATCAATACATTCATCCCTTGACAATATCCGGTGGGAAAAAAGCTTCTTTTCAGGGTCCAAAAATCCTTTTGAAAGAAGAAATTAAAAGTTAACGTTCAAGATGTTTGCTCCTTGTCTATGTTCTATGTAATTGAGTTATTTTAACCTGTGCAGCAGCAGTTTAACTAACAGAAAATTTTAAGGTAAGAGATATTTTATGGGGGAAAGGGTAAGCACAGTGGATCAAGTATTTGTAACTAATGCAGTGGGATTAATTTCAAAAAACCCATCTCATTTTCTTTCAACATAGCAACAAAATGGAGATTAAAATAACTGTATTTTTTCATCCTAATTTATTTGGCTGCCATGAGACACAGCAGGTGATATATACACATCATTTTTGCAACTTACATTTATATATCTACAGGTGGTTCTTTAAAGCTAAATGCTCTCCTTAGCTCATTATGCCTAGGGACTGCAGAGAAGTCTCACAAGAGTCGGCAATGTGCTGCAATACTTAAGCACAATGGGCAAGTTAAGGGACAGTTTCAGCCAGAGCTCTTGCATTTGTAGGTTTTAAGTTGTACCTCTAACAAATACTTTAATACATTTACATATAATGAATACATTCTGGGATTCCTAGAAATATTTAGGCCCAGTTGCAGTCATTTTTCTGACTGTGCTCTTCAAAAAAACAGACATACTAAAAACGAAACAGAAGAAGCTGTGCTAGCAGATCTTAAAGCAGGATAAAATGCCATTATTTAGGAAAATGGTGACTTGGGTGTACAAACACACATGCACATGCTTCTGAACCTAGCCTCCAATAATGAAGTTCATCTTCATGAGCAGATCACAGCCATGTAATTACTTTGAGAGAAACTGGCATTTTACATGCTAATCTAAATTTTTCATTTTACTCAATTTGCACTGAAGTTAGCATTGACTTCATATTATTCTTATGAATAATACAAGGCAGTCAATACTTATCTGTGAACAGTTTTCTAAAGTTTTACTTTATTTTATTTTAAATGGTGGCCATCTTATTGCCAGAATCGGAGTTCAAAATGACCACAGACTCTAAGGACCAACTTTAATTTTCTTTCAAGGAGCTTTGAGATTTGCACAGAACACATGTTGAACTCCTTTCAGAAGTCCAGCTCCCAGGAGTAAGTTAAGTTGGGTCTTCAAAAACAGAGGATATAAATTAAAAAAAAAATTAAAAATCAGTCATCACTTCTGAAAAATTGCTCCTGTATGTATTTAATATTAATATGTAATTGGAATAACTTAAAACCCATAAAAGCAAGAAAATTCCGAGTTAAGGACAGAGGTTCAACCTTAACTCACCCGACTATGCTTAAGAATTGCTGCAAACTCGTAGAATCATCCCCTGTAGTGAGACCCTTGCAGTACCTAGGCATAATGAATTAAGAGAATTAGCTACAACGATTTATTGCTGTACACACAGATATTTTGACAAACTACATAAGCTGTCATACAAGTTGCTCTTCTCCCCAAGCAAATTCTCTTCTACTAATTATCTGAATACGCAGGGACTCGCTACAGTAAATGGGACAGGAGTGCACTGATTAAATGGCAAAACCACAATGAGGCATTCAGTTGCAGTGTTGTCCAGCTAAAACCATAAGAAAAGGGAAGTTGAACTAGGAAAGCCCAAACACAGAAACCCTGGCTGCCAGGGATTAGAGATTAGGTACTATTCTGGAGCTTTTCAATAATGCTTCGTTAAGGATTTATTAATCCTGAAAAATTATTATGGTCACATTTTGCTGCCTTAGTGTTGATAATGAATTTCTTTCTTAACAGTTTTTTATTGGAGAAGTATCAGTTTGCACAAGTGATAACAGCCGAAGAATAAATGCTGACGAATTTCTCATTTTGTAAGCATGCTTTAAAAAATTATAGCCTTTTGTAGAAGTCTGATGGAAGACAAAGACTTGCTGTTTCAAATCGAAACTGAGCTTCCATTTCTTCTCATAAACTAGACAATGTGCTAAGTACGCCTCTGAATAGTTTCCTGAACAAACTGAAGACCCTACCATTATCCTTTGACAGCCGTATTAGGATGGACTATTCAGTAGACTTCCCTAGCAGAGACTACTCCCCCCAGTTGTTTGTCTTCCAGTATTTCAGACTGGGTCTTTGCACATACAGTCTTATCAAGCTGTGTTACTTGATCTTATACAGAGCCTCTTAGGAAAGCAAACTTGTAAGTAAGACTTGTAAAGTTAAAAAAAAGTCATGTGATGCAATGTTCAAATTAACTAACTTATATTGGGGAAGTCTCAAATCTTAGAGGCAGATTGAGTTAAATAGCAATTCCTGGTAGAAGTGATGTAATAGTAGGATCCAACATGAATTTGAAGAATTCTTAAAAATAAATCTCAAATCAAATTTCTGAAGAATCAGGTCACCTCCAGTTCTACTTCAGGTCCTACTTTAGAACCTGGAAAGAGCTTTGACCCAGTCTTTCAATAGCATGGGACACCTTCAGACACTAGTGATTACATATACACACACAAATTCTGTCAATTATTTATTGAAATACATACTGCAATATACTTGCTGTAACAAACCATACATATGAATGCCCTCAAATTAGTCCTATTTTCTAAATTCCACTATAAATCTTAAGAGTGATTTCACATTGCACTATTGCTGCCTAGTGGCCTCTAAAGTCAAAATTCACAGTGACACTGACTTTTACAACCAGCATTTAAGCTGACTTCAGTATTAAATACACGGAACTTCTCTTATATAGAGCAGGAAAAAGGAAAGTCAAGTAACAATTCGTCAAAATAATTATGCGGAAGAGAAATACTATAGGAAGCTCTAGATTATACAATCCAAAACTCATTTTCATAAATCTATTACAAGATACTACTTTGTAAATGTGTCAAACTAGGGTTTAGGATAAATGACTTCAGCAGACATAAATGGTGTTTACAACTATCAGCTAATCCCACTTTACAGCTGATAGGAGTCAGTTGGGATGAGAAAAAAAGACTGGCAAGATGTCATCCTTTTGAAAAATGATGAAAAAGCCTTCTAGGACATGGAAGAAGGAGCTCAGAGTTCAGATTTCACAAAGAAATATAGGATGTACATGGAGGACCCTAAGAAAACAACCTTTTTCTTATGAAAAATATTCCCGGCATTTTATTATGAGTCCTCTCTTTATATAACATAGGGATAATGGCAAAACATCAAACTGACAGCTTTCTGTGAAAAATCATTTAAGCAATACTGCCATCAAGTGTTCTCTATATGTATTAGCTATATATTTTTCACTGCGTCTTGGTTGTACAGGTGAGTATGTGGACCAAAGGCTCTATCAACTGTTTCTCCATACCAACCAATTTCAGCTGAAACTATCATCATCACTGTGCAAGTAATCCACTTGTAGTTTGAATGCTTTTGATGAGGTTAGACACCTTCAGGTAAAAATCCTGAAGTCTGCGGATGTCAGGAAGCAGCAATACTCTAATTTGCTTATTTGGTGGTTATTTCCTCTATGAAACAGATGGAGCAGCTCAAGTATGATGCCCACAAAGAGGCTTGTCACATTACAAGTATTAGTCTGTACCAGCATGGGGACTGCATGGTAACCCAAATTTTAGCTTGGAGATTAAAATGAGCAAACACAGGACAAAATCACACATTGGGAGAAGATCAATCTTTGGGAAAGCACTTACACATCATGAGTTAACTATTTCTGCAACTCATTCTTATCCCTGGCTCTGCAGATACACATCTTCTGACCTTAGGCCACACGCAGATTTTGGCACACATATCCAAGTGAGGAAGATTGCCCACCCACTTCCTTACTTTAGACCTAGTGTATAAGAAAAATATTCCTCTTCTGCTACACAAGAAATAACCACGCTCTAAGAAGTACAGCAGTGTACAAAAGTGTGAATGCATTAGTGCTACACAATGTATAATCCAACAGTGAGACTGACAAAGCTTTAGAAAGATTCTTCAAACAATGCAGCCAATAAATACTGAGTAATGTAGAAATGTTCACTTGGATCGGCAGGACAGGACATGCCTCTCCTGAACTTTCCTTCAAAGAGAATTAGTTGGAGATCACAAAAGAGGTATTGCTTTCTGATTGCAGAAGTCTCTTATATTTGTCATTACAAGCATCTTCTGTGTCTTATTTAACATGCATAAAGAACCTTCTAATTAGACAATTCTTTTCTAAACTGTTCTAGAGCTAACTAGGATAGTTAGCTCTATTTTGGAATCTTCCTTTCTTGCCAAGAAGTGGGATCATTGGGATTGCTCAAGGAAAGCGTGGCAACATGACACAAAAAAAAGCAGATGTGAAAGACAAAAAAAAAAGCTTGGAGACATGGAACAGCAGCAAGGACAGTTTGACATGCAGAGTCATAACCTACAACATTGTTAATTATATTGTCTTAGACTAACAGACTTAAAGGAAAGTCTGAGATCAAAATGCTATTACATCAAAGATAACAAGATAGGGTGAAAGCCAATTTTAGAGTTTAAACACATGGTCACACACTCTTAACATGAATTTGACCCATATGCATGCATAACAGGGTAGGTTTCTTTTTTTGGAAAAAAACAAAATATTTCAGCCAGTGACCCACACTATAGAGTACTATTGCTATAATTTAAATGAAAGTTTTCAGTTACTAGGAGAAAATATTTCTCAGTTCTTGAGAAGAATATGTGAAAATACTGCTAGATCTGTGCTCTTCCTCAAATAAGTGCATCTCAGCTGCAGGACACAAATAGAACTGCTGTAAATTGATTTATAGCAGCCAAACTTCCTTTGGTGAAAGGAAACAGTGGCGGGGGAGGGGTGTTCCCCACAGGAGGAGGTAATTTCATGTTGTTGATTTTTATGGGACTGTTGCTTTAGATTTCTAAGACAAGTGATGTTGCAGATCATTTTTAGAGCCCATCAGCATAATTTCTTACTTAATTCAATAGGAAGGCACTAGTTCTCATGTCACAATCCCATTCTCTAACCACCAGGGAAGCAAAGAAAGCATGTCTGATGGGAAAAAAAAAAAAGATTATTTATAAAATTACAGGCCATACAGGCACTGCCTTGTAAACAAGCCATGATTTCTGCTTACGGGGCCATTTAGGAAATGTTTTTGCACAAAACAAAGAACAAATACTGGAAAACGACCACAGAAAGAAAACTAGTTACAAGAGTATGAAGGCTGATTACGTAAATATTGTTAAACACACTACTCACCTGCAATAGTATGTGCATACAGTCTGCTGCCAAAAGTAAAAACATGTAACTCATACAGCTTGGCAATTTTTTCCAGGAATTCCTTACAATGAGGACGCAATCGAGTATGCAACATAGGCTCACCTCGACCTAACTGGAAATGAAATATTCCCTAGAAGAAAAAACATGTTTCATATTATCAAAATACCAACCAAAAAGCATTCCAGAAGTGCCCTCTTCCATCACTTCCACTACTTTTATTCGGTCTGACTAGACTAAAGCAAGTTTCAGCCACAAAGATTATGTGGATGAATAAAATCCAAAGCACATTTTTGCTCTGTGCCAGGAAGTTCAACACTAAGCTTTTCAAATGCAGGAAGCTGCACTGTTGAAAAGTTTATGATCAAAGTAACTTTCATTCAAGTCTTTACTCTCAGAAAACAATCTGAAAAAAGCAACTTGAGAAATTTTTCAGAAAGTTCAGGATCTCACTCCAATCAGTACTACTCAGTAGACTTCACTTAGATTAGTTTCAGTACATATCAAGCTCAGAGGAAGACTTTGTTGCATGAAAAAAATATTATGTCTGTGGAAACATACCATCGGATAGCAAATCAGGAAGGAAGTTTGCAGGTAAAGATCCCAGTTAAAAAAAAAACCTCAAAATCTTTTAAAAAATGTTTTTCTTCATACCATGCATTTATACAGATGAACACATAGCCTTTCTAATACACAAGGTTTTTAATCTTTAAGCTGCATATTAACTGTTCCCTTTCCACCCAATTGTAAAGTACATTTACAGCTTTTTTTTTGCTAGCAGGTGTGAACACATGCTGAACCTACTGGACGTGAGAGAATAGCAAGAGGAAAGATAGGAACTAAGTAACCACAGTTTGCATGACACTGGACTTTGAATTTGCATCCTCCTGCACAAGACACTGTAAACACATTCCAATGTGTTTCTTGTTTTCAAGTTTCCAAATTGGAAATATTACAAGTCAATAGTCCCTATTGGTTCAGTGACAAGTGTTTCATGAAGAAATTAAATAGCAACACCTAAACACTCCCCCCAAATTAAACTGAAGAAAAAAAAAAAATCACTAGACATGTTCATGGAATGGCAGACATAATAACACACAGGATTACCCAAAAAGGGACTCTGAACAGTAATTCACTATATCCACCTCAGACTTGGAGGGGAAAAAGTCTCATCACTGAGTACTCATACTTGTGAATGGTAGAGGAATGAAAGCAGGGATTAAAAATAGCTACCTGAAACTTCTCACTTAAAGTGACTGGGATGGAAAAGTGCAGGAAAGCATAAATGGAAGAAACAAACATGTCAATTTAAACATTGAGGGGAAAAAAAAAAAAGACGATTATTTTAGAAGATATGTTTCTCATTTTCTGCTATTCTTCTTCAATTTTATCTAAACCACAGAATGTTTTCTTAAAGAACCATCATTTAAATATTGTTAGAAATATTCCTGTTGTTACTTTGGCTTGAAAGTTAACACCAAATACCTTATTAGACATTTGTTGGCAGTGCTGTTCTGTAGTATGGATCAACGTCTGGTCCAAATCTACCATAAGCACGAGTTTTCGATTTCTATGTAGTCGCTGTTGATCTTCTCTTCCTAGCTGCTCAGCTTGCTGTAACAAAATATTCATAACTAAGCTTAACTTAGAAGAAATAAGTTAGGCTTATTGCCTTTTGTGTATTATAAACTTGAGAAGTTCTGCCACAAACTAATTGCTTAAGAAATGATGCTTCAACGTAACTGTAGTAATGGCAGCTTTGTCAGCAATTTTTCTGCAGGAAAAAAAAATACTCCCGAAGTCTACTCTCAAATCGCTGTAACACGAGTAACTCTTAAAATTTATAAACTCAACAACTTTCAAATAAGTATATAATAAGCTAATTAAGTAACCACTGAATTAACTTAAGGCCAAGAATCTTGAGAGGAAATAGCAGTAACTTTGTGGCATACAAAGGTCAAGTTCAGTAGGTCTGAAAACTCTGGTTGCTACATTCAGCAGTTTTGTATCAATTAGGTACAATATGGCTGCCAACACTAGAAGCTGCTAATGACAAAAATTATTGTATACTTGGATTGCAAACTTGGAACACATTGCTAGCGGAAACAGAATTTTCACAAACTGCTTATCCTTAAGATAGAAGTGCCATCTTTTCAGTGCACAGCTCTAAAAAACGCACTATAAAACCTGATAACAATCAATCTACATTAGGGTAAACACACAAAAACACACAAAAAAGGCAAATTATGTTCAACACCAAAGTCCTCTTCAAAGGGAAGCCAAACTTTCTCTGTGAAGTATATATAACATTGAAGAAGCTCCTATAATTAAGCTTCTCAGCTGTGGAGCTACAGTGAAAGGTAGGAATAAAGAAAGCATGATGGTACTTACCTCAGAGCTAACTTTCAGTTCTGGGACACTGTGAACCATAGACACAGTTGCTGTGGATAATGGCACATTCTGTTTTCCATTCTTACTTCGTATCCTAATCACGCAGGGGAAAGAAACATTGAAAGAAAGCGATAGTTTAGTGAAAAGTTGAACATACTAAAATCTGTAGTATCAAACTAGTCACCACCAAAAGACTATGATTAAAAGAGCTATTTTAACTAATACACTCTTTCAAATTCTTGTTAATGCCAGTTATTGAACAACATGGATAAAGAGATCAAAACAGCTGACCATAAAAATCTTGCAAAAAGTCACTGTAATTAGTTACACTTCCATATAATTACTTCATGAAAAATGATACTAAGATGAAACAGACATCTATGTATTGATTTACATTAGAAAGCAGTTATAAACTAAGCATAACTACCAAACCATTCAAATTTACAACTACTCCTTTCCTTTTTTTTTGTGATCACTCAGCATGCAATTATCTACTTTTCTCCAAGCCAGACTGTGAAATAAATTTAAGCAAAAGATAGGCAAAGGTACTCTCTACTCATAGCAGAGTGACTTACATGTGACTGCTGCTTCAAGAAAAGCATCCAAAAAAATCCCCATACATGCTTTTCCCTTTGGCACAAACAGAATGAGGTCCTACATGTGTGTGCCAGTATTTTATTTATGTGTATATATTATACATACATACAGTCTTACTTGTATACATATCCATATGATATATAACGTATGTATATACAGATAAGTATTAATACATACAGAATGCATATCACCCTCACACATATATATGAGAGTGTGTGTATATATGAGTATGAAATTCATTGAAAACTGACCAAGTAACCCCACATAGCATCAGTATCACTAGCTTCCAGCTTACACAGATCAATTTGTTGATTTGTTGATGTGAATTCTGATATCTAATTTTAAAGGCATTATATATGGTTCACCAACACTGCAAATATGACCATACAAATTTTGTCTGATGTGACACATGCACATCTTTTAATTCTCCCAAGAACTGTCCTATCAAGGACAAAATTTGGTATCAGATCTACAGCCAGAGTTAAGCTTCACCCAGTTTTCACTTCATAACAAGTAAGTTCCCGAGGGAAAAGAAATGTTACTGAGCTGTGTTGAGGCAGGCACAACCACAGACAGATATGCTTTTACTGTACTGTAGTGTTTGGAAGCCCTGATACCCAGAAATGAAAGACAGATTATTTCATTTGGTCCAAGGTTTACATGCACTTTTTTGCATCTGACATCCTTTGCTTCAGAGTTCAAAACACCTCATATATAACACTTAATGACATTTTAAACGAGCCTTTAAAAAAGATAAACTGTTTTCAGACCATTTGTTGAATGAGCATAGGAATTGTTTAACAGAAAGGATGCACCGACTAACACTCAACAATCTGGCAGTGAACTGGCTGTACTCGCTTTTCTTCAAGCAAGAACAGCATCAATGCTTTTGAATTGCCTTCTGATGTAGGCTCACCAGACCTAACACATTCTTCCAGATGTACAAGCCATTTTGTATAAAATGAAAACATTATCTGAAGTAGAGGAGTATTAATTGAGAAAACTGAATTCACTGCATACCCTAAATTTATCTAGATTTTTAATCAAAGAATTGCAGTATAGCAATATTTAGATGTGACTGTATTCAAACCTCAAATCAAGTATTCATTCAGGGCACGCAAAGCTCTATTTGTTATTATCCTAACTTTTTGTTAGGTTTCTTGTTTTGCCAATAATAGTTGTTTACAAAATATTAACAGTCAACTGTTCTGTTACATCACAGATATTTACACCTGCACAGATATAACTCTCAGGTTTATTAAGTTGCTGTTGACACACCTTACAACTCATAACCTCAGTTATGTGTACACAAAGAGGAAAGTGGGATACACCATGATGAGTATTTCTGTCTGCCTATATGCTCTTTACGCTTTTCTATTTAACGTAGTTAAGCTATCCTACATTTATCTCCCCAGAAAAAGAGCGTGCACAGTTAAGCCATGAATTTGTAACGTGAACTGTAACTCAAGTACCGACATGGCATCTTATTCACCCATATTCCTAGTTATGAATCCCTGTAATGGCTCAAAGGAAATACAGTTCTAAACAACGTATCCATCATCACAGTGACATATAAGGAGAAACAGGGTACATATTTGAAAATTTCTGGGTGACAAAACAAGTGCCTTGTGTAAATAGCAGAAGTAAATTAAGACATTTTGCAACAGTGGCACAGATCTTGCCTATTTCCTCTTCATGTGCTGATTTTATCCACAAGGAACACCAATTCCTGCTTACAAGCAGCAATTTTTCAGTAAAGAAATATACTTTATTAAATGAGTATACTATTAGTAATGTGATCAAAACCCAATATATTCGGATCACTCAACTTTAAGCAATAATTTCATGACCTAATCTCAATAGATTTTTTTTTTTAAAGCAAGTTTGAAAGAGTGCTTTATGCTGAAATATAACTTTTAGAAGAAACACCTCAGATTTCTTTATAGGAGCACTCTGAGCAGACCTACTTATGTTAGGCAGTATGAATACTGTTCTTCCTCCTTACTAGTGTCTACAACTTTGCAGTTACCCTTCTAGGTATGATTCACAACTACCAAGACTCAGAACGGAGAAACAAAGAGTAAATGAGAAGGAAGAGCTTGGATCCCTAGTCACAAGCAAGGAGAGACTGGAATAAAAAAAGAGCTGAGAATACTTACTGAGTCAAGTCCTGGCCGCACTCTGCACACAAGCCTTTCATAACAACAGGATGGCTGCATCCTTCCAGTCTCACCAAGACACCCCTGAAAAAGATATAGTAATTCCATTTATTGCAGGTTGATTTCAAACACTTAGATTAGTGACTGCAGATTGAAAGAGTTCAAAGAATAATTTCTGGTTATGATTTTAGTGCCAGCCCCCTAAGATACATGCTTTTGCCCCAACATGGGGAAGACAACACCAACTAAGTATTCAAATTATTCAATTTCACACCTTCAAAAGCCACCAAAACATATATTAATGTCAGATTCTAACCTTTGTTTAACAAAGGAGTTCACCATATTAACAAAACAAGCATTGTTTATCCAGTTTACATTCCGTTAGATACAACTCCCCAGTAATATGCTACTGAGCTACACAGTAATGAAAATCAGTACAGAAAATTTAGTTCCATACTGTTTTTATCTTAGTTTATTATTTTCTTTTGTTATGGCAGAAACATATATTGCTTCAGTCTTCTCACAAAAATATTTTAATTTTTGTTCCTTAAGTCTTGAATTGCCACATTTTAAAATAAAGACATGCAAAAGGATTTTTTATTCTTTCTTCCAAACAAGGGCTAAACCAAACCAGAAATTAGAGCTTGAAATGCAGAGAAGTGTGACATTTACTATTCCAAACTGCTTAGAAGACAAAGTCTGCTTTTCAATTGAATGATCCAACTAAACTACTCCTTTGTTCAAATTCAGTTCTCAAAATTCAGGGTCTTGAAAACACCATCATTTTTTTTTTCCTCAATTACTTGAAAAGTCATTTACAAGCTACTTCTCCCATTTTCTTCAATAGAGTTGAAGGCGTTTCTCTTTCAGACTAAGCTTAGTTTTTTTAAAAAAAACAACACTAATAATATAGTTCAGCTAATTTCCTCAGGTCTGTGACCATAAGCTGCAGCATGTCTCTCATATTTCAGAAAAATAAAAAAGTCAAGAAGCTAAAAAAAAAATCCAAGCTCTTTCATAAGTTGGTTGTAGTGTTTTCTCTTTGGCTTCAAATCTGCACTGCAATAAGACAACAGCACCAGGAGAAAACCTGTTTTGCATGCTCAAATCTCTCATTCATATATTAGACTACTAAGCATTTGAGTATTCCAAAAGGAAATCTACTTTCCAAATGATGCCTGCAACTGCTTCCTTCCAGTATGTCACTCATCTCTCAAAGACCAGAAGACTGATGACTCTACTAACAAAACTGCAGTTCATGCCCATGCTGAGGATTTTTTTCCTCTTTGAGAGTAAAAACTATATTCAGGTTAGGCTTATTTAAAGAAAAGTCTTCAGAAGTGTCCTGGTTTCAGCCAGGATAGAGTTAATTCTCCATCACACTACCAGTACTCCCAGTCACAAAAGTGCAGATCTATTCCCTTCTCACTGGCAGTTGTCATCTGCTTGGAAATTACACCTCTTCTTCCTGTGTAAGCATTTTAGATCTCCTTTTTTAAACACAGTATATTTTGTATTTATGTATTTCACAGTACATTAATAATAAATAGTCATTCTTGATTTTGTAGAAGAACTGCACAATAGACAAGCTATTTTTGTGGCCCTTCACTATTAGCAATTCACTGCTTGATTATTTAGTTCTCCTCTCATGCCCCTATGTTTGCATTGCTTAATCTGACTCTTCTTCTCCCCCTGCCTGCTTCAACAATATGTCTGTCTTGCTGTCTTTTACCTTGATTCAACACTACGCTCCTTACTTTTAGGCTACCTACTCACACTAAGTACAATGTCAGAATTGCTCATCTTTAATCTGTGTTCAGTGTATGAACGTGAAATTACAGGGACAGCTAAAAGGCCAAAAAAACCCCTGCAATATGAGCTATAGAAATGTGGATAAGATTTCACAATGACTTTTTACCACAATTTAATATTTTTTAACCCAACTTAAATTTCAATAGTTTAGGAAAAAAGTCTTTTGATGCCATCTTAGAAAACAAAATATCTTCAGGCATTCTCTACTTTGGTAGTAAGTAGAGGTAACGTCATGCTCTAGGAATGTGACAGGAGGGGCTGGTATACTCCTGGGCTGAGGTAAGATTCAAATTAGGACATGCAAGAGTTACCATTCATGTATAGGTACACATGATCTTGTCCTTTTGATTTTAACAAAGAGATTCTTACAAGAAAATTAGAGTTCTAAATTATTCATTGGTATCATTCCTCAACAGCATCTCTATACCTTATCACATACCAAACAGCACTGCTAAATATCAGTTCTGCCGCTGCACATTTAAATATGACCAAAACACCTAATTTTATGATGCTTGCTGGAGATAAAAAGTATGTGATACCAAGCCCTGTGATATCTGTTTAACCCAAAGGATAGAGGAAGAACTTCAGAGCACCGCAAACTTCTGAGTACCCTACAATCAAGCTGGTCAGGTTTCACGTACAACTGTCAGGATCTTAAGCAGACTTCACCCAGGGGAAAAACCCAAGGAACCCACATGCTACTTAATGCTGCAGAATGAAAGCCTAAACTCTACTAAGGCTTAAGTATACTTTAATATTTTACTTATTTAAATTTAGCGCATATGCTTTAATTACTGAAAAGAATATACTGTGGAAGAACAAGCATAGAACTCAAGTAAAATGACTTTTGCATATTTCAAAACTGGAAACACTCCTTTCACTAAGATTTTTAAATTTTAATGGCCAAGATGCAAGTCAATTACTAGACAAGAGCGAGCGGAATCAAAGTGTGCACGTCTATTTTTAAATGGCTGCATATACCAAACAGGGGTTCAGGTTTCTGCTTGTTCTCTTCTCTGGGTCATGAGTGAAATCCGCTTAAAGAACAGAGCCACTCCCTACTTTTGTTTCTAGAGAGCAAAATAAATCCCCCCCCACCCCTGGACTGAAGAACTGCAACACATTCTACCGCTGGCAGCATTAATGGCTATTTCCTCTTTCTCCCCAGATTTCTCCAGGATCCACTTGGTGATAAGCAGAGCTCATCGGCTGCTTCAATAGTAACATTCCAAAGAAAACTGCCAGAAAAGATGCAAAAACCTTCCCCAGTTTTACAAATTGTCACAACTGTGCACGTGAGCCAGGCACCAGGGAGGAGTCATTTCGCAGTGAAAGACACACTTTGGGGGGGAAGGGGGGTTTGGTGGTGCAGCTGTGGGTATTAGGGTTCCAATACTCACCCTGACAGCTAAAGGACTGCAACAGGACAGTGAACTGCCCACACCATTTCTTTTGGGTAACAAAATACAATGGGATTTAAGTGAAACTTGAAGAAGTAAAGAAGGAAACCCACTCTAGGATCTTACTGACATTCTTTCCAGATGCGCTTGTAAATAAGAAACAGAGACTCTAGGTGTGCCATTATAGCAAAATTTTATTTTTGTTGTAACAATCACGGATAGGGACAGACATTTACTAAGGGACTCAGGATGCAGCTGACCACAAGCCCATCACTGTCCTCCCAGCACTTCCACACTTTCACATTTTACCTGCTTCTAAAACAAGTCTTTTAACAATATCTCCCTTCAAACAGCTGGGGGGGGGGGGGGGGGGGGGGGGGAGAGCTCTTT